CTGACCAAGCACACAGCCATCCCTTACCCCCACCCACACACACACACACACACACACACACACACACACACACACACACACACACACAAACCCCTACTCCCACCTGCTAATGCCTCCTCGATGTTTCTAAGAGCAAATATTGTTTGTCTTTGTGGATTCCCTGCCCAGTGAAATTCCATATCGCTCTTGCTGTGCTCATTGTTTTATTGTTTCATGTAGCAGTAGGACGAACGTTCATCCAGTCCACCATTTAAATTCTATAATGCAATGTTTACCCTAACAAATGCCTGCAGACGTCTTTTAAAACACTTTAACGTGCCGTCTTCTGAATGCAATCGGCGCCCGTCAGCAGACAGTTTGTTTAAGCCATAAAAAAATGTGTCTTATTTATAACGGCGTTAGACGTATGCGCTGCATTTCTATTGCTATGCTATTTTTATATTTTAACCGCTTCAAAACAGTTTTTTTCTCTGTCGTAAAATTGTGTTCCCAACTCGATTCATCGCATCAAACCTCGATGAAACAGAGAAGCATCATCATACGTTAAAATTATTAGGAGTAAAATAATTGTCAGGCAGAGGCTATAACATGGCGCCGTCTGCCATTTTGTTTCTCATTGCAATATCAATTGGCCTGATCGACTGACTTTGTATCACACAGCTGCAGCAGCCTAGTACTCCAGAAGGAAAGCTGTGGCTTTTCCCTGCCTTTTCTCCCTCCCGGATGTCAGTTAAAGTGCGGCTGCATCGTGTGTTATTGTTAGTGCTTCATCTAATGTTAGTCGTTTTTGATCATTTAATCTGAGAAAAAAAAAAGCAAGATGTTGGCAGTAGTAAGAACTGCTTTGTGCGTTTTGTTTTGTTTTTTTAAACGGAAACCGATTTTATATAGTCGCCTTAAATAGTCTGCATTTGCTTCTAAAGTCCGACTAGTCATGACTCCACAATTAAGATGTGACAGGTAATTACGACACGCAACAGAGGCACAATGTAGCGGCAATGTAGACACGCAACACAGCGGCAAGAGCTGGCAGCAGTCCCAAAGCCAAAACTGTATCCTCAGATGAACTTTATGTCATGCAAAGTACAGTATGCACACTAAGCATAAATTCACAGAGCATGCTTCCCTAAAACTAATGACTAATACTCCTTGGAGTTCTAACATATGCTTTTTTTACTCATTTTTTTTTACAAGCTATTCCCCAAAAATCTTAACATATACCCAAGACATCTTTATACATTGAAGCCATAATGAAGTCATGAGTTTCTCAATTGGTTAAAACGCATGGCGAGATGTGACGTATACCTTGAACTCCTTCTAATAGGATTCTATAGCTCCTGCCAAAGTGCATGACTGAACTGAGCTAGTATCTCATTTAGGGAAAGGAAGAAAAAAGAAAGAAAGCGAACAAATACCTTGCATTGCAAAGCGGCCTTTTCCTGCACTTTGTTAGTTTAAATAATATTGGCATTTTTCTCCTCTCTCTCTAATTGTCTTTGGCCGTATGTGTTTCTACTAAAAACCCGTCTAGCAAAGAGGAGTGCGCGGAGAGAGGAGAAGAGTTTTTTTTTGTGCAATCCAGCCTGTGCTGCTGTGAGGAAGAGAGAGCCGGCGAGGAACGGGGTGGTGGCCGTGCAGTGAAAGCAGCCCTCACAAGCTGTGCAGCCTGAAGCAGTAGCAGCCATGTTAAACAAGTCTCCGTGAGCTCGAGCCCCGCTTATGTATTTGTGCTCTCCAAAGCCGACAGGAAGTTTTCACAGAGTAAAACGTAAGAAAAAGTTTAACCCCCACCTTATGTTTTTCCTCTCTGTCTCCCTCTTTCTCTCTTTCTCATTGTCTCTTGCTAGGAATGAAGTCCCCTCTTTAATTCTCAGCAGTTTATAAAGCAGAAATGAAATTTTTTTTTAAAAAAGAGAGAAAAAAAAAAAGCTCCTCAGTAATAAATACACTTTACATATCTCCTTCCTCCTTTTCTTCCCTTATAGAGCTCCTGGTTCAAGGCCGAGGGGGGAAAAAAGTTAAAGCCACGAGGTCTGCCTTTTGCAGTTTTTTAGAACCAGAGCCAAAAGAGGCAGGAAGTTGTTGTACAATAGCGTTACAGTAATCTGCCTCAAATGGAAAAAGCCAAATGCTGATCGCGGAGTGGAGAAGGTGGCAGAACAGACAGAAAGAGGGAGGGAGGGACAGGCAGGGAGAGAAAGAGCTCTAGCGTGTGAGAAGCAAAGCATAATCAATGCAATCTAAGATGGTGGAAACAGCCCTGCTGTTTAGTAGGGACCCCCCCCCCCCTTTCTCCTCTCCTCTCCTAGTTCCCTCTGAGGCTCACTTATGCTTCATGTAAATCTGTGCAAGAAATTGGTTCAAACTAAACGCGTGGACCATTATGTGATCTTTTTTTTTTTCGTTCTCCATTTTAAACAAGACAAATCGGCATCTCTGGGGGGGGTTTCGCTAAAATGTTCTCCGAACTGTTGAACATTGAATACCGGGGCATGTAGCAGCTGTTTTTCCTCGAGGAAAAAGCAGCAGAGTCTCACCCAAAAATGCTTATCAGCCTTTTTTGACTTTGTGCCAAAATAGCTGCGAAGGTTCGGCTACAGCCTTTGCTTTGTGACAGAGCCGGGGCAAGAAGGAGGCGTCCTGGCCATGCGTTCTTTGCCACATGTTACTGAAATTAACACTCTCCGTGCTTTTCTTTTTCACTTTGTGTGCTCGCGTCCTTGTGTGTGTGTGTGTGTGTGTGTGTCATGGTCTATTCTATCCATTCAGGCTGCTCAGGCATGCCAAAGAGTTAATGCGCTCTGAGTGTGTGTGTACGTGTGTTCCTTTCAGTGTGTACTTCCAGATCTGTAAAGCTCCACCACGGTAAGAGATGAGGTTAATAATTCAAGGAGATCTCAGAAGTGTTGCATATTTCAAGGATCCTTCAGCGGGGGCAGCTTATGCTGAATGACTCTGTATTCTCCCGTTTTCCTTGCTTTTCTTTGCACTTGCTGATATAGTTGCTGACGTACGTTATAGTGGATCCCAGTATGGCGTGTGAGTGCAGGCACTGAGCCTGCGCGCTGCCTGGGAGGAGTGGATTTCTGTGTCATTCTTCTTCCTCCACCCCTCCCACATTTAGTGCTTTCCACCCTCCCACTCTGCCTCGCTCTCTTCCCTTCTGTGTCTCCATCTCCCACCCATCTTATGCTCCCTCCCTCCCTCCCCAGGCCCCAGTGCAAATACAGTTCCTTGCCGTGTTGGACATGTGATGAAAAAGTGACTGGTTCGCGCGCTCTGCTACACCTCCTATTTCATCATCAGCCGAGCTTTTCTACCCCTTCACTGTATGCATGTCTGTCTCCTCCTCTCGGATTCTCTCTCTCTCTCCCTCTCTCTCTCTCCCCCTCTCCTCGTCTTCTCTCTCTGAATCGGTCGCTCCTCTCTTTCTGCTAGAGCCACACGCAAGGGGGAGACTTGAGCTCTGCGAGGGGAGAAAAAAAAAAGACAAAAAGTCTGCTGCTATTTCTACAGTCAGGGCCTCCCCGCAGCCCGCCCTGCCATAGATGGATCTTTTTTTTTTTTTACTCACTACTAGCTGGATTTTAACCCTCTGCCTCCAACTAGCTGCACAGCAGCTCTGCAAAACCTGGCAACAAGTGGCTTTTTTTAGGGGCCCTTTTCATACTTTTGGCACATTGATTTTTGCACCGCTCTGGATTTTTGATCACTTTTCTGCTTTTCTGTTGCTTATTTTCTAAAACTGTACCTCATTTTCCTCTTCTTTTTTTGTTTGTTTGTTTAGTTTTATTAGGTTTTTTTTCCCCCTTGCTGGTTTTTAGCCATGTTTATTTGGTTTCTCTCATTTTGGATCAAAATTTTTTCCAAGGTGGTGTTTCTCCATCTGATGGGCCTTGATCCACCTGGAATGCCAGGGGCGCCATTTTTGACGGGTAACCTGTTTGTGGTGGTGGGCTCGTGGTCGGGATGTCCATGGATGGCAGTCACAGAGTGACCAGTGTCTCAGTAGGGTATACGTGTGCGTTTTAAAGGGGATGTTTCGTAATCCGCGCCAGCGACTGGCGTGAAGTACCGCACCTTGTTTGTATTTACTCTGCTTCTCCTCCTGTTTCCTCTCCATGTTCTCTCTCCTTCGCTGTCTCCTTGTGTCTCTTTCTCACTCTTGTTCTCTCTCTTTCACGCCGACTCGCTCTCGAGGGCAAATGAGTGGTGCGCTGAGCCGGAGCTCTTACTGGGACAGGTGCCAATTGCAAACAAAAGAAATTAACAGGCAATAAGCGAAAAAAAAGGGGGGGGGAAGCGAATTGTCGAATTGCAAGTTGTTGAGATGTCACCAGTAGCTGTGCACGTTACGTCGCCGCATGACCGGTTTGCATTATTGTTGCGTTACGTTATCAAGTATTAAAGTAAAACAGAGGTTTGAATACTTTGCTTCACTTATTCCAGTGAAGGCATTTCACTTGAGAAGAGGGAGGGAGTAATGTGAGAGAGAAGCATATAGACTTGTGAATTATTCATGTGCTCAGCCAAGGCTGAGACTGGACTGGTTGTGCTATTTGCATGCATCAGACATGCTGTTTGTCTGTTTGCTAACATTCCTCATTCAAAGACTTGTTAACTAGCAGCCGGGCTTAGCTGGAGTCTCGCAGACAGCCTCATGGCCTCCTATTGTTTCAGGCCTCACCGGGCCTGGACCCAGCTGGTGGCAGGCAAGCCATGCAGCCCTGAGCTTTGGGTTGAGACTGTGGTTGAAGGAGGGATTTGTGCCTGGAGGTGAGACTGACGTGGGCACTGAGGCTGGAGCTGAGGCTGAGGCACGGCTGTGAACGGGACATTCTGAGGGAAATCACGGGGTTATGCAAGAAGCACCAAACTGGAGCTTATGGCTTTCTCCTCTTCTTGACAGAGATGTGGATCAAAGCGGGAAGAGCTTCCGAACCTCACCGGACATTTAGCGTCTTTGCTCTGGTAACTGGTGAGTAATTTTCATTTAAAATATGCCTATGGATGCATGGTTTCCGATGTACTTTATCAATGTGTTTGCATTTTGCACGTTCAGTTTTCGCAGGAATCCTGTACAAATAAACATCTCGATGAATTTGAGGTCTTTGCACAAAGTTTCTTTTCACCTGAGCGAGCATTTATGCATCTGAATTTAAAGCCCTGCACTTAGAACAGCAGATATCAGAGCGTTAACAGCTATTCTCATGATTTCAAGAACATTTCCCCACTAAAAATTTCTACAAACTCATTCATAGTTTAGCGATACGCACAAAAAAGGCAGAAAAGCACTCTGTTGACCGGATAATCCTACTTTAATGCAATCAGTGAGTAAGTGCAAGGCCACAGTTGTGGAGGTATTTCATATGAGTGATGTTGTCCGAGCTTAGAATGCACTGTATGAAGAGAAGCACGTGGTGCGCTGATCATTTCGATCAGTTTAATGTTTTCAGAAGCTTTTGGAGGACGTCTTAATTTTTACAACTATTTATTTTTAAATGGCAAATTTCTTTGAGTTCGTGCTTTTACAGTTTGTACTTGGTAAGCTTATATTTTATTCAAGAAAACAGAATAGAGAATAACTCACCATTTCTTCACCATTTGCTTTTGTATACATAATTTTTGTTAATCGGAGGATTCCTTCATATTTTTTCCCCACTTTTGGATCTATACCTTACATGTCTGAATACAGATTTTACAAGACTTGTGCTTTTGATACAAGCGCTTTACATACAACTACAGATGCTTTTGTTATTATGTTGATACTAATCGCATTTCTCTTGATTTGATGGAAGAACAAACCTGAATGAGCAACAAACGCAGCAGTTTCACCAACAAGAGAATTTATAAAAAATGACTGTGGATATTGTGAATTTAATGATCAAGATCATGGGAAATCTGTACTGCTTGAATGTTTTTAAGACATTAAAATAGCAAAGTATATTCCCAAGTCTAATGAGAAAAATCTTCTTCGAGGTGTCGCTTGAAAGTATAATCAAATTTGCAGTAAAGCTGTTTTCTGATTGCGTTTTTTGAAAATTGCGGAAATTTTCTAGTTTAATCAACAAAAGTTTGCGTATTTGTCGAATATTCTGCTTTGGATTTCAGATGTGCTGTGTTATGTTGGGTGTCGGGTTTTACATAGAAGATGACTTTTTTTGAAGGACAAAGTCAAAATGATTACTCAAAGCTTTCAAGAGTGAGGCTTACTGTTGCATATGTAGCTTATTATGCTCATTCATATGAATGTAAGCTTTGCTGTACTAGCTGTGAACACATGGTTTTGGCTGGAGGAGTATCTCGCTACTCCACCCCAAGGCCTTTTTGGCACTGAATGGCAGGAGTGCAGTGGAAGGTTGCATGTCGAGAGGCAGATGGCAGGGTTTTCAGCATTTTCTCTCTGTGTGTAAAAGCATACCTACAACAACACAACAGCCTGGTACAACCCACAGTGGGTGCACTGAAGCAAACTAACAGTTTATTGCATCTACACAGCAGAGCTAGCAATGGGACACACACAGACACAGTCACACATACACACTAATACAAATTTACCGTCAAACGTGCGCGTAAATGTATTTGTGTAGCTAATAGTAGTTCATAATAATTGTACTTTTTTTTTGTTGATGCTTTCTTGGTGTATGATGTGAGGTTTAGTCAAATAGTTGGTTAGAAGCATTTTTTCATGTAATTACCAACAGCAAAGTGGCTCAAATGGCTTCTTTTAATTTTTAATTTTTATTTTATGTAAATGGAAATATGTACTTAATATAATGCAGAAGCAAAGCAGACACCAAAACTGCATGCCACAGCTACAACACCAAGTTCTCAAACTTGAACTTGACTGTCCTTGAACTTGAATGGGGGGGGAAAAAATCAACAATTATTCTTAGTCTTAGTATGTTAGTTAAAACATATGGTGCTAACAAAAATCCAACTGAAAAAACGTGGGACATTTTTTAATAGATAAGCAAAAAGAAAGTGTGTGTGTGTGATGGGGGAAGGGGGTGCACTATGCAAAAGATTATTTGTCATGTTCAGTTATTTTTCTACAATATTCGCAGCAATTCTGTAAGTAATTTATTACTGTTTTTATTATATGTATCATACTGAGGTAACCCTGCTACTTTAAATTTATTACTCACTTTCAGTTTAATTTATATTTGAGTTTGTCCATGTGAAACTCAAAAATGTCATGACGCGTAGTAAAAAGAGAAGAAAATATAAAAACGGACGAATATGTGCACATGTGCACGTCCTCATTTTTTTCTGCCAAGTGTAATTGTTTAAAACAAATCAAAAGTTTGTCCCGTGAAGTTTTTTTGTAAGCACACGTCTTCATAGAGGAAACTAAACAGAAAGCGTAAAAGAAAAATGTGTATGCTAAAACACTGTTTTTAAAGTATTTACATTACTGTAGAGATCAGTGTACGGATGGCTAAGTCACAGCAGCAGCCTTTTTTGGTGTGTGTGTGTGTGTGTGTGTGTGTGTGTGTGTGTGTGTGTGTGTGTGTGTGTG